CCAGTAGCAGGTACGAATGCCAGCCAGGACTGTGGCACACAGGAGCAAAGAATTTTCAGTAACCACTAGAGCAGTGATGGCGAACCTATGACACGCGTGTCAGAGGTGACACGCGAACTCATTTTTTTGGTTGATTTTTCTTTGTTAAATGGCATTTAAATATATAAAATAAATATCAAAAATATAAATCTTTGTTTTACTATGGTTGCAAATATCAAAAAATTTCTATATGTGACACGGCACCAGAGTTAAGTTAGGGTTTTTCAAAATGCTGACATGCTGAGCTCAAAAGGTTCACCATCACTGCACTAGAGGCTTGCCCTGATGACAGTGACCAGTGGCCCACCTTGGTCTGGCATCCTTACTTACCTGTTGCACCATCCTGCTGCGGCTGACACCCTCCATGTTTTGCGCTCTGCCTCCTGCTACTGATGCCAGCCATGTTCCGCCTGCACCCCCTGGTGGTCAGCGCACGTCATACCAACCCGTTCGGTTGTTCGGCCGTTTGGTCTATTTGCATATTAGGCTTTTATTATATAGGAAAAACTATATATGTAACATATATATAAAACATGCTAAAGGAGTTTATCCATTAAATTATAGTATCTATAATATACATAATAAAAATATAATCACATGCTAGGTAAGGTAGTATATTCATTAAAAACATTGCCTTTTTCCATATTTATATTATGTAACAACTAGAGGGATGGTGCATGAGATTCGTGCACTTGTGGGGGGGGGGGGTCCTTCAGCCTGGCCTGTGCCCTCTCATAGTCTGGGAGCCCTCAGGGGATGTCCAGAGCAGGCCTAAGCCGTCAGTCGGACATCCTTAGCACTGCCGCTGTGCTCACCAGCTGTGAGCCCAGCTTCTGGCTGAGAGGCACTCCTCCTGTGGGAGTGCACTGACCACTAGGGGGCAGCTCCTGCATTGAGCATCTGCCCCCTGGTGGTCAGTGCATGTCATAGCAACCAGTCGTTCAGCTGTTTGATCGATTTGTATATTAGCCTTTTATTATATAGGATAACAATAATAATCATACAGTCTAGTGGTTTACCACAAAGACTTGGGAGCCAGACTGTCTGGGTTCAAACCTCAGGTCTACTATTTCCTAGCCTAATGTTTGACAAGTTATGTAACCACTCTGCTCTCAGTTTCATCGTATGTCAAATATATAGTACCTACCTTATTGGGTTGTTAGGAAAAGTAATTAAGTTAAAAGGTACAAAATGCTTAGAGCAGTGCCTGGCTCTGCATAGGTGTAAGTATGCATAGGTGTTACGTGTCAAATATTTCAAATGCTTCACTTTCATCTTTAGCACAGGTGCTCTGCCATCACTAGGGCCCAGTCCTCTGATGATGGCTTTTTTGTTTGTTTGTTTGTTTGTTTGTTGTTTTTACATTATCTCCCCTTCTAAGTTATTTGAGATATAAAATTTCCATTAATGTCATTGAAATTCGTATTCCAAACCACAGTATCCATTCACCTAATATTATAAATGTCTTTGTTATTTAGAAGGATATTTGTGACCTGTACAATAAAAATACTTACAGTATGACTTTAAAAATTATCGAAAAAGATTTTTTGGCAACAACATGAGGCACTTGAAAGTTTTGTCTTCCCAAAGAAAAATAATTCAGAGTAAATAATTTAAATAATAGAAGCAAATTTTGATGAGAAAACTTTTTCTAAGGGATAAAGGATAATTTGGGGGAAATATAGTTGTCATATTTGGGACATGGGGTTACATAATTAATAATCCAGGGGTAGTGAAAACATATTTCTAGCACTTACAATGGTTTTACCATTATTGTCAGGTTTCATTGTGGAACTTGACATGATACCCTCACAGCTGCCAAATCCCTACCTTATTTGGAGCTTCTAGATATAGCTGAAAGTAGGGGAAAACTACCCATGTTCAAACCATAACTTTCTGGCACAATTCCCCAGGACATATTTATGATAAAACAAAGGGAAAAGAAGGTAATTCTAAAATATCTAAATACAATTTCACTGCCATCCTAAAAAAAAAAAAAGGAATGTTTTTGAAGCATGTAAAAGTGTTAGTATGTATACTAGCATGATTATCAAACTAATTAAAAGATATTACTTTACTTCTATTGTTATAATTTTGGTAATTGACATACTAGATTCCAGGGAAGGACTAGATAGCTGTCACAAGCCCACTTCCTGGTCCATCATCTCTTTACCTGGGTAAGTTTTTGTATTCCTAATTAAGTCAGCTCAATGACTCTAACAGAGGTTAGCACATTTATCAATTATTCCAGTTTTCTTTACTATAACTTACTGCAACCTCTTTTGGGGTACAGAGGTACAACATTAAATAAATAAATAAATAGATATGATTGATAGATAGATCCATAGATTGATTGATAAATAAATAAATAAAGTTCCCAAAAAGGAAGACCTACCTGACTAGCTGTGAAATTCACTGGTGTTCTCAAAACCCCCAAGAGGCTTCTACAGGATACCTTGGCTTATAACTCAACGTCAAACAATATGGAAGATCTAATCATATGACTCAATTTTCTTACTTGGTTTCTCAACGAAGGCAGAGGCTAGAGAGGAAAAAATCCAACAAATATGATAATTGCTTTCATAGACAAAAGCAGAACTTGAATAATATCTATATCCAACAATTCATTCTTAATCAGCTCATTATTAATATTCATATTCTTTTTTATTTCACTTTTTAATTATAGTTGACATTCAATATTATTTTATATTATTTTCAGGTGGATAACATAGTGGTTAGACAATCATATAATTTACAAAGTATTCCCCCTGATATTTCAAGTGCCCACCTGGCACCATACATAGTTATTGTAATATCATTGACTATATTCCCTACGCTGTACTTTATATTCCCATGACTATTTTGTAACTACCAATTTGTACTTCTTAATCCCTTCACCTTTTTTACCCAACCCTCTAACTCTCCCCTCTCCCCTCTGGCAAGCATCAGTTTGTTCTCCATATCTATGACTCTGTTTCCGTTTTGTTTGTTCATTTATTTTGTCCTTTGGATTCTGCATATAAGCACAATCATATGGTATTTGTCTTTCTGTATGACTTATTTCACATTAATAGTCATTCTTGTACTTTGCTCACTTTTGAGAGTAATATTTCTTTTGGATAGGAAAAAATGAAAGTATCAGGAGAAACAGAGAGACTAGAATTTTTTTCAATGAAAGAATCACAATCATAAGTAGATAAAGTGAAAGATTATTGCATATTGTTCATGACTAGAAACTCAGCTTCATAGCTAATGTAGCTTAGAGAGTACAATCATGTAATTTATCAATCAAACTGGGATATTTTTGAGAGTGAAAAAGTAATCATATTAATAATTTTGCTAGAAAAATCATGCGTAAAATGGGACAATGGGACTATCTCCAGCAAATCAGGATATATGATCAGTCTATCTTGAGTTATATGGATGGTACCTACATCAATACATTCTAAAATTATTTGTAAAAGGTGGTAAATAGTTGGATGAGCAATTTCAGACATTCTCTAATGCAGTAGAAAACTTCAAAGTGTAGCTGCCTGTTCATCTCTAGAGTACAGGCCTTGATGTTTTGGTTTATATCCTTTTGCTGCTGCTATTTTAGTTTGGAGGGGAATGTGTTTTTATTTTATTTTTACTTCTTTGTTTCGTTTTAGCCAATAAAATTTTATCATTCCTTTGGAAATTCCATTCCAGAGCAATGGCCAGATTTGTCAGGATTTTGGTCCCAGCACACAATACAATGGCTTTCGATATAAATATTAGGACTATAAATCCTGAAGACAGTTCTGCTCATTGGTTAATACCATGGCATCTGGAGTTAGGGTAGTTAGGATTTCTCCACTTTGAAAAAGTGATTTAACACAGCAGCCAGAGCAATCTTTTCCTTTCTTTCTTTCCTTTTTTTTTTTTTTTTTAAGAAAATAGTCAATGCCACTCATTAGTTCATAACCTTCAGTGGTTTCCCTTTTCTTTTAGAACCAACACCAGAATCCAACAAGACAAGGTATCCTGGTCCTTGCCTTAGCTCAGCCTCACCACTAATGTGGCTCCCGCACTCGCTACTTCAATCACTCTTCCTTTAGACCAGTCATTTCCTAAGTCTGATGTTGTGACAAGGTGGGTGGGGGATGCTACCGGCATCTACTGGCTAGAGGTCAGGGATGCTGCTAAACCTCCCACAGAGCACAGGGCTGCCCTCGACAACAAAGGATCATTTGGAGCAAAATGTTAACAGTACAGAGGTTGAGAAACCCCGATTTACAGCTTTCTTCACACCATGTTTACTCTAATCCCAGGCCTTGCACAGCCTGAAACATTCATGCTCTTCTCTTCCCCTCTTTTTTTTCCTTCTCTTTTCCCATTTTCCCTAATTAACTACTGGTCACTGTTTTGACCTCTTTCTCATAGTGGCTTTTCAGATTCTTATTCCCAGATGATTGCTACACCCTCTCAAGGAATTATGAAGCACATAATACCAGTAACAATTTCACATGTATTTATATCTGTTTGATTATTCCCCTCCCTCACCAACTCCATGTGAGCAGTAGCATCTAGCTTATATTCACCATACTATCCACGGCATCCCCAGCAGTTCGCACAGCTGGCAGAGTTGTCCTGTAACATTGCATTCAATGTTATTAAAGGAACGTTTAACAACCTAACCTACAATAGGAGAATAACAGAGTAACTACCTCATTAGGGTAAAGATAAATAACACACATAAACTCTTTAGCAGAGTGCCTGGATCACAGTAAGTGCAGAGAGACCGAGGTTCGTTAGTTGGTGGACAGGAGACAGGCTCTCTCCGTCGCATTTCTACAGTTGCACCGGGGCAAACGCGACCTCTCCGAACTCTCCTCCCCGCAAACAGCGAGTAACAGTTGCTGCGCCTGCGCTTTTCCGCCTCTACCGTTAACCAGGCTGCCGGAAGTATTTCCCCTCTTCTCATTGGTCCATATTGCGCATGCACGTATCAGGTTCCCCGCCCACTGGTGCCCAACCAATGAGAGCGAAATCGGCCAACACGGCTGCGCGAACGGGGCGTGCCCCGGAAGCAGTTCTTTGGCCTGTGACACGTAGCAACGGGTGCCTCTTCGGGGTCCCAAGCGGAGTTCGGGCTTTTATCTGGCGCCGCGGGAGCTTCTGCCGCCGCCTTGGCGTTTGGTGAGTGTCCCAGGCCCGTGGCACTGCTCGGCTTCTTTCCACCCCGGGGCGGCGCGGCTTGTGGCCGCCTTTCGGCACCGTCGGGTCCTTTCCTCAAACCCTCGCTCCCTTGCAAGTCCTGGCTGTGACGCGGCCTCTGCACCAAAGGCGCGGCCTCCCAGGAGCCTGCACTTTCCTGGCAGTCCCCGGCCTTATGTTGCGAGGAGGCAGCCGCATTGTCCGTTGTAAATCCCAGCCTCGAGGTGAAAAGGGGTCCTTGTTGTTATTTTCCACCCAGCGGAGCCACTCCTCCCGCGACCCCGCCCCTAACCCAGGGTTTATCAGGTCCTTGAAGTGGACGTACCTTCCCTGGCCTGGACTTAAGAGACTAGACGTTTCCTTAGCCACCCCCGCCCCGCCCCGCTCCATCCCACCCTCCAAATGCTGCTTCGCAACATTTGAGAAGAACTATTTGCTGCCTTTGGGGGCCGTTTGCTTGAGCAAAGTGTCAGGAACGAATTCGGTAGGATCTTGAGCATAAGCACCTTTTCCCATTTCTCTCCCATTGCAGATCGTTTGCAATGTCAGGCTTTGATAACTTAAACACGGATTTCTACCAGACAAGTTACAGCATCGACGACCAGTCACAGCAGTCCTATGATTATGGAGGAAGTGGAGGACCCTATAACAAGTAACTTTTCAAGTTTGGCCATTCGTTTACTCCAGGTTTCAGTGAAAGCATATGCCCAGAATGTTTGGTTCTGCCTGAAACTGAATGTATGAACTTGTCTCTGCTGATCAGGAATCTGATTTTTCATAATCTTCCTTCCTCGGGAGAGAACTGTGACACTAGTTTGGGTTTGAAGGGTTTGCCCTATTCAGAGTCTGGTATCTTGTGCAAAATCTTCAGGTGCGATGTAGGTGGACAAGTAGATTGTTGAAGGGCTTTCTCTATTCACAGTTTTGCTACGTCATTTAAGATATGGATAGGCGTTCAGGTACTTAGAAGATAGGCTATTTAGCCTACGGGAACACTTAAAAATTAAAATCTTTTGATGGCTTTTTAAATAATTAAAATACTCCAACTTTCAAACTTTATCAACATTAATTGAAGTGCTAGTGACACTAACAGTGTAAGCTTCCCATTATGAATCATCAGGTGATTTTCCTTTAGCAATTGATAGTCATCTTCGTTATTACTTATACTAAAAGCTTGTCACACAAGTTGCCAGTTGCATTTTGAAGAGCCTTTTATCCCTGAACTGTTAAAGAATGATTTTTTAATAATTCCTGGTATCTGTGGCAAAAATAACTGAAGGTTTTCTATCCATCTTCTCTAGGACATCATATCCTTAGTTTCTTAGGACCTTAAGGATAATCTTACCAGACTTCTAACCAGTGAAGGAATTTCCTGTATCAGGAAATTTTTCAAGATGATCTAGGATTCCTTTGAGAATCTAATAAAAACTATGGGCCTTTTTCTGAGAAATATGTGCATGCAGTGAAATATCCACATACATGTGCATATGACTCCAGACAGTTTATGTGTTATCTGATGTTCATCTGCGAGCCATGAATTAAAAACCTCATGAAGACTAGCCCAGGATGAGAGCAAGGGAAGATGGTGTATCCAGTCTGAGAGAAACATGTAGTACTAGAATGTGTTTGTTTGAATTAATAAATCTGAATGGAAGTGCCCAAAATATTAAGTAAACCAAGAAAGAAACAAATGCAGCTTCATAGTCTGGCCTGTTATGGGTAGGTTATACTTTTTGCAACCT